AAAAAGGGCCCATAATTTTGACATCTCCCCATATATATCTATCTCTTTAAGCTCCTTAACATCACCCCTGAATCTACACAAGCCCTCTGCAGCATCAACTTCCGCAGCGCTCCCAGGGGGTCAGGTCGTTCACGCCGTTTAGGAATTAGGGTTTACGGCTCAGAGTGAAAGGGTGTAAGTTTGAGGCTTCAGAGGTACTGAGCTGAGCAATTTGGGAGTCAGGCTTATAGGCTTTGGGGTTTAGGGTTAAAGGGTTTAGGGTATACATATATATTAATATATATATGCATATATACTCACTGGCTGTCATCACGGAGTGGAGGATTGCATTCATGTAATGGGCCCTACATTCCCCAGAATCATACTCCCTATAACTCGTCCTATAACCGATTCCCTTCTTCGAGCCACGAGTCAACATAGGGAAAGGTTTCGGGCTCAGTGTGAGGTGCAGAAAGAAGCGGAACCCGCACCTGGTTCATAATCTTTGCCCCCTGGCAAAAATTAGATCCTAACTAAACCCTAAAACTCAAACCTAAACCACTACTTCTACTCCTCTCCTTGCCCGTGTGGGGAATAAGGGGGTGAATGTAGGGACCAATATAGGGATCCATTGGCCCACTCTCTGATAAGCACCAGTAGTCTACCAACAGTAGCAGTACCTGTCACGGCTGAGTCATCGCTGCATCATCGTCGAATACAGTTTTGAGCTCACACTGTACTCCAGCCATGTGAGCATTACACAGCTTTCGTTGGGTAATACCTACCGTCCCAGCCCCAGCTGAGTTCCGAAGGTCCAAAAACTCGACATGTTTTACCGAATAGGATGCAAGGAACCCAAAAAGCGGAAAACATGGACCTAGCTATTAAGAAGCCTGAAACCCTTTGTCCCCGCGATACCCTGTATTGCCCCTACATTTACCTTTGAAAAGAACATTTCACGATACTAAAACCCTTGAAAAATATTTCACGATGCTAAAACCCGGAAATGTACACCATCATCCTTTTTAATGTCATCCTTCTAACGAACCTAAACTCTAATCCCCAATCGAAAAATCCTAAACCCCGAACCTTGAACCCAAAGTCCTTGAACCTTCTGACCGTAAACCCTAAATCCCTAAACCATAAATCCAAAGTCCTTAAACCTTCTACCCTCAATCCCTAAACCCCAACATCCTAAACCCCAATCCCCAGACCCTAAACCCCACAAACTGGTCATAACAACTCATACAGGCTCAGACCTGGTGTCGTGAAGGAATGCCGGGGCAGTCCACCAATCGGAAGCCCTTTAGGGTTGAGGGTTTTGGGTTTAGTGCCACCTGGAGAGTTGGGATAATGTGGGTTATAGGGTTTCGGAATTTAGGGTTTAGGGATTTGGGGATTCAGGGTTTGGGGTGCGGGGTTATAAGGTTTAAGGATTAGGGTTCAGGGTTTTAGAATTTGGTGTGATGTTATAAGGTTTGAGGAATAGGGTTTAGGACTCAGGGTTTAGGGTGTGGAGTTTTAGGGTTTAGGATTTCAGGATTTGGGGTTTAGGGTTATAAGGTGTAGGGGTTTAGGTCTTGGGGATATCGGGATCTAGTGCTGAACTGTTTACAGGTTCAGGGATTTAAGGATTTTGGGATGTAGGGATACAGGGATTTAGGGCATGCATAAGGGATGATGTAGGGGTACGTATGACATGCGGGTATTAGGGAATTGTAGGGGTTTTATGGACATATGGGACTATGCGCGTAGGGACTTGTTGGGTACAGATATCCGCTCCCCTACCCTCCCTCATGCAAGTAGAGCCCATAAACTCAAAGCCTTACGTAAGCCCTCCCAAACCCTAAGCCCCAAACCCTCAACCCATAAAACCCTAAGCTATAGAACCCAAGCGTACAAATCTTTGGAGGCCAGTTTAATCGAATCAGGGCTCAAGCAAGGCATTCTCATCCTCCTTACTTCAATGGGTTTAAGGGTTATAGGGTTTAGGGTTGAGGGTGCTCCACACGACCTCTACATAAAAGACATATGACTGCACAGAAAATGCCGCAGGTTGTCAAAATTATGCTCCCTTTTTTGGGGGTCCCTAAGATATTGCATGGCTCCCTAAACTCTGATAATTTGTGCTACCCTTACCTGTACACGATTTGGAGTTTAGGGTTCAGGGAGACTAGCGCGGAGCCCTCAAAAACAGGGCATAAGGAGACCAGTCCTCCGAATGCCCTCAACCCTAAACCCTGAACCCTGAGGTTTAGTTTAGGGGTTTGCATCTATGTGGGGCTTCATGTTTGCCATGGGGAGGGTAGCTGCAGGGGCAAAGGAACTTTCAAGTCTTATAGCGACGTCTCGTCGAGGTGCCTTAAGGATTGTGAAGGGAATTTACTGGGAACCCAAACAGGGAACCCCAAGAATACAGGAGGAATATAACAGGAACATACCTACCACGGTCCTTATATCCTATTAGGTTCCTACTATATTCTTGGGGTTCCCTGTTTGGGGTTCCCTGTTTGGGGTCCCTTTAGGTTTAAGGTCTAGAATCTAGTACCAGAGTATTGGTGATTATCCCCTGCTTCCATGGAATATTTTTCCCAACCCTAGACCCTAAACCCTATGGTGTTTCTCCACATCCCTAAGCCGGGTTTCTATGGCTCCTGTGACCTTACCCCTCCCCCCTGAATGATTCTGTGCTGGAAGTAGCGTCGCCATAAACCCCAAATGAGCCATAGTCAAAACTCCTAGTGGCCCCCCAAAAAACACACCCACAGTAGTCCGCTATATCATCCCTTATATAGGAAAGTTTTAGGGTTTAGGGCTTTCCTGATAGAACCCTTACACCCTAGACCCTAAACCTTGAATACATCTTCTTAGGGGACTGGCGGTGGTTATTCTCAGGAGGAGAGTATAGAATCAGTTGCTGAGTTCCATGGGTCCATAAAGACGACGCTCTTGTTTGTATCATTATAGGATTGTGGAAACTCGAAGACGAAGAGTAAAGTACACCTAGCCAGCTACTCAAAACCCTACACCCTAAACCCAAAACCTAAACCCTAAATAGTAGTTTCCATTATCCCTATATAGCCTCAGCCCTTTACCCCTGTGCCTGCCCAAAAATGACTTCAACGGAAAAAAGCTGCCTTCGGCAGGCCGAAGGACACGAAATGTAGCGTCGTGCCGGGCCTCAAGCGCGATTTAGGGTGGGATATATAGGACATGGTGGTATTTGGGAGATATAGGATTATGGTCAGGAATTCTTGAACGCGGTTTTGGGGTTAAGGGTTTAGGATTTGGGGTTTGGAATTTCAGGCCCTGGGTAGCTATACTAACTCTGGCCCTTCTACAATACTTTCCAAATCTGAAAATTGAGCCAATCTGGGACTATGTCACATAGAAACCCCCAGTTGGATGAGTTGCCAGAATTTGCCCTGTCTATTTCGGGCTATAAACTAGGCTGACTAGACCTATACCTATCTATATATATATATATCAGGGGCTTATAGCCCTACTTCGAACCACCCATGAAACTTCCGCCTGCCTGCCTGTTCTCAGGATTTGTCCCTCAATCCCATGCCCCTAACAACCCAGCCGTACACCCTAAATGCTATATGAACCTTTAGCGTTTGGGGTTAAAGGCCCCGCACGCTGTATGGTTTTGGCCTGATGGCCCTACACTCTAGGTGAGCTACAATCAATATTCCTAGATAACTATCGGACATGGGTCCTTACTCCGGGAATGTACTAGGAACAATGCTAAACTATCCAAGGGACCCCTATGTCCACCCTTAATGTTCCCTTGATAAGCTTAACATTGACTGAAGCTAACATAAACCATAAACGCACAGGTAAGAACTAGCTGAGAAACCGTCACAGGCGAGCGGGTGACGCCACCCACGGCCCGTTTGTAGTGGACTGCCCCTTGATGCCTGAGTGAGGGCTTAAGGTTTTGGGTGTGCTACCTACAGGCACGTGGAAAGTTTTTCGCTGGAGTCATCAACAAGAAAGCTATTATTGAAACCCGACGTTTTTAGGGTGCTTGTTCCCACTTAGACATAGAACTACCCACCAACCTCCCAGCATTATGGATATTCAGGTTGCTCGAGTTCGTATGATAAATACAAGTTGCAAGTTGGGGGCTTTGTGATTTAGCACGACGTAGTATGATGCTAAAATCTAAGTCACTGCAGATTTGCCCTACTGCTGTTGATACAAGTAGCTTAATTGGCTAGTCGCGGACTGTGCTTTGTGCTGTCAAATTCATGCATCCTACGCACCAGGATTTTCTGGATTAATAGCTGGGAAGGTACATTATGAAACGCTGCATAGTGTCATAGATAACAGTATTTCTGAGAGATTATGGGACAAGTTTCCTGCTTATTGCACGTCATTTTGCATGCCTAGGCTCATAGAACGGAGATTCCCCAGTAACCCCTTAACACTACCTAAACCCCAAAAGTATCTAAAATAATAGCCCTACACCCATAATAACAGCCATGAAGGCCATTATTTTACATACTTTTGGGGTCCAGGTAGGGGTACCCTTTCCCAGTATTCAGCTTGAAGTAGGACTCCCAAAAAAAACGGGAGCAAGGGTGCTACTGGCTTACCTAGGAACAGGACCCAACTTCGGGTGTTAAACCCTAAGCCCTACACCCTGAACCCTAAACCCAAAACCCAAAACCCTAAATCCTAAACCCTAAATCATAAACCCTAAACCCTAAACCCATCTTCGAAAGCTACCTCAGGCGGATGCCTTGGAGCCTTCGCGCGGGTCTAGGTTGCCGATGGGTAGAGCCGCGCAAGCTACGGGGCTTGGAAATTGGTTTAGGGCTTAGGGTGTGGGGTTTAGGGCTCAGGGGTTTAGCGTTAAGGGTTCAGGGTTTAGGGGTTTGGGGTTCTCCTTCCCTTCTGTCTTGGCAGATGGTAAAGACTGAAGTTCCTCCCTGCAGGAGCATGGGTCGTTCCCTAAACCCTAAACCACTCAACCGGCGCGATTACGACAAAAGAGCCCATGCCTGAGGCAGACCCCTTATTAATAAACCCCACTCCTTAATGGGGATAATAATTAGGGGTTTAGGGTTTTAGGGGTTTAGGGTTTAGGGTCTAGGGATCCGAATAGTAAGGCCCTTGAAAGGAGGGGGTTTATTAATCAGGGGTCTACACTACCCCACTTTATCTCTTCCTAGCTGCCGAGTTTCCTTGGCCCCAAATTCAAAGAGGCTGCCCTTGAATCATGGAAGGATTAGACATACCACTATATGAGGATATCCAGGGATTCATTAGGGATGATGGGAAAGAAGCTGGAGGCTACGTTTTTGGGCGTAGGGTTTACTTTAGGGATGTAAAAGGTTAAGGACTATGTCTTCGGGAACCGCAAATCAATCATTGCCTGCAATGAGGCGCGGGCTTGTAGCCGATGTACCACAGAAAGCGGTTGACAAACGTGGACTTACCCGAGTTCACGCGTCCCACGACATACATCCATTTGGGGTCCTGCACGCAGCGGGGCCCCAAAGCCAAAAGGGTTTAGGGCGTACGTAGGGAGATTTTTTTTTGGGGGGGGGTCCAACAAGTATGTTTAGTAGATCGGGGTCTACTATGGGGACCGCTATTCACAACGGCTACGTTCAGTTTCATTCTTCTTTGAGGACGCGGACACTTGAAGGGTCGAATGGGGACTTAGTAAGAAGGTCAAATTTGATAATGTGAGGGCAAAGGAGCTTTTTCGTTGGCATCTTTTGGCTCTCAGTAGGGTCATAAATGTACTGACGCGGTTTAGGGTTTGAGGTTTACTTACTAACCCCTCACCCCACCACCCCACTCCTCCGTGGAACCCTGGTAGGAACATTTTTTCGACTGCTTGTTAGGATCGTCGTAAGTAACAGCTTCCACCGCAATCTGTGTTCAAAAGGGTTCTAATGGAATATAAGGACCCTGGTAGGCATATTCCTATTCTATGGGGTTCCCTGTTTGGGGTTCCCATTAAAGCCCTTTTATTGTTCAGTCTTGCTGCTGCAGCTGACTCGGTCCTCGGGCAAGAGGTGGTGCCTGCAATCAGGGATGGATTAGGAAGATCCCCCACGCTGTCATAGTGGTATAATAGGGAGATAGTAGGATCCTAATATAATCCTTGCTATCCCTTCAGGTCACCATTGCAGGGTGGAGGGTGCACCTGAGGGATTGATAACTCCAGGCGTATACGCTTAGGAACTCTTCCGGCGAGTCATGAAAGGAAAGCAAGTTTGTGGTCTTTCTCAAAATCGGGTGCACCCGAGGAACCCATATATATATATATATAGATAGGCGAGGTACACCCTAAACCCAAATCCTAAACCCGGAACATGCAGACTATAAGGCCTCCCTTTTAGACTGTGTAGGGATGGTTTGCAGAAACAACCCTGAACCCTAAGCCCTAAGCCCCAGTAAACCCTAGACCCTGTGCGGGAAGGAGGTCGGAACTTCACATGGCTTAAGGTCTAGGGCTCAGATTCCCGGGGCAGTTCCAGGAGGGGATGTGGAGTACATGAAGGCTATGAAAAAGGATAGGGAGCTTGTGTGGAGTATATCACCCTAATGGAAACCCTAAACCCGGGTGATGACATCCATCCACTCGGTTTAGGGTGTAGGGCTTCACTGACAGTAAACGTTGAACCCCAAAGTAACGTAATCAAAGGACTTCTTCTACGACAGCGTGCAGCGGGAGCACCTAAGACCTCACTCCTTAAACCCAATACATCCTACAGACATGCCCCCATGTACCCCTCTACATCCCGCTCTCTCTCTCTCTCTCTCTCTCTCTATAATTCTATATATATATATGTACATATGTATATATACCCCCAGATGCCCTCATAAACGCCCGAAGCCCTAAACCCCAAACCTTAGACCTTTGTGAAAGATGCAGCACGAAGGCACCTCAACCTCTCCTCCAGCTGCTTGAAGCCATGCCCACTGGTGGAGCTGATAAGCACCTAGGGTTTAGGGGTTTAGGGTTTATATAGGGTATAGGATTCAGGATTTAGGATTTAGGGTAGGGTTTGTATAGGGTTTAGGATTTAGGATTTAGGATTTAGGATTTAGGGTTTAGGGTTTCGGGGTTTAGGGTCTAGGGTCCGGGGTTTGGGGGTTTTGGGCTCGGGGTTTCGGGATTGGATAAGAACTGTATAAAGGGAATGGAAGATAACACGGAACCAACGACAAAACAATGGAGACTCGAATGGAACAGAAACATGGAATATGCAATGGAAACTGGACTTATAGGGGCCTGAAATAATTGGTAGTGGAGCTTGAGGCTAAACAACGATATTCATATGAGGATTACACGACAGCCGTATTGTAATTAGTTGGGTACCACACACGCCTAAACCCCAAACCCTATACCTAGGAAAGGATATGGTTGCTACATGGGTGGTTGTCAACATTATGGTCTTTTTTTGGGTACCCGCTGTCCAGCCTCAGCCCTCCCCCCCCCCTGCCATGGTGGGTGGCCTAGTCCAGCCCGACCATCCCGCATGAAATTTCAGCCTCGCCCAAGGTTCGAGGCTTTGGCGGTACGCGGCGGGCGCATTTTTCGTTCAAAACGGTGTTTCTGCTAAGTTTTTGGGGGTTTTGGAGGCCCCTCGACGTCCCTGGACCCCCCGAAGGCCCCTGGACGCCCCTGGAGC